TCTGCTGTACCTAGCCTGGACTGACAGAGGCCGTGTATATATGTACATTTAAATAAGAAATAAGTGTATTAAAATATGTGTAAATACAGACAGTGGACTTAGTATTACAGACTGACTGACAAATGACAGACCCGACCTCTCGTCAGAGAGGGCGCTACACATGGACAAGACAGTAACTTTCATTCAAAAGAAATATCTGGTCATGAGCCCCAGCTGGGGCTCGACACCAAGACAGACAGACTGACTGACCGTCAGTTGCAACGTGACTCAGACTCTCAGACTGTTCCCACAATTCTTTCAGTAATAAGGCTATATAACATAGCACGATAAGATGAATAATAAATTGGAACGGATTTGCAAGGAAGCAGTCATTGTGCAGTTGAGTACTATTCTGGAATTTGCCTAGAGTTGAGAAGAACTACGAAAATCTTCTGTTATAACAGTCACTGTTCTAGATGAGATTCAAAACAAGCACCTCGGTATAAGTCTAGATCATTACTGCTAGTTCAGCCTGTTTGGTGAAGATATCATATCTTCCATCTGACATCTCAGTAATGCTTCAAATAGTGTACATTTCTGAATAAATTCAGTCAAACATATAATCTCTTTTTTCTCAATATTTAGTATAAAAGACAAGCACAGTTTTTGTTTTCAATTTTTACTCACATTATTTTAATTATTTTGATGATACTAAACTTCTAATAAAATCATAATGTGATTGTCCATTTTTACATGAAGTAATGCTTTTTATACCTGGATCTGAAGTTCTAAATGATGTATGAAATTATATTTATTCTCAGTTGTTACCCAGCTTGATGTTGTTCCAGTTGATTTTGACAAAGTCATCTCTTTCATATGCACTCTGCTGATGATAAAATCCTAAAGCATGAAGCAGTTCATGCACAGCTATTCCAAGGTGCACGCAGCCAGGATTTTGAAGGTTCACAACTTGGCCACCTCCACGGCGCCCAACAAAAGACCAACATCCAGACTGCTTTCCTTGTATTGTGATAAAATCCTCATCGTCTTCCTTATATGGCCGAAATTTCACACAAGTTTTCGTGTGATATTCTTCAAAAGCTTTGTTAATTACATCTAGATCTTCTTCAGCTATAAAGAAAATGAAAATCCTCACTCTTTAAACAATAAGAAAATATGAAATGAAATCTTTGGAAAGAATGAACTGGCAGAAGAGTCACCTTCCCTAATTATAGTATACTGGGGCTAAGTAAAAATGGGAATTTTCCCATAAAATAGAGGGATGACAACTCTGTAATCACTGTGCAAGTGCTCATTGAAGACAATATATAGCAGCTTTTATTACCAAGAAGATGGAAAATTCTGAGAGATCTTACTAGGTATAGTACTTGGACTGCATACAGAGAAGCCTTGTAGCAAGTGAAATTCATAGGAAGCACATTCTTCTTTGTGAATATTTACAACACACTCCTCATAACAGTGACTACTATTACATGCTTAATACTCAAAACATAATATTGGAATGCCTTATTCGAGTACATGGGGTATTTTCCATTCATCGTTCTGTGAGATACATCACTTTGTTAGAAGATCCAGAAATTTTTCATTAGCCATATTAAATATCAAAATGAAGAATCTTTATGATAATTTTTACATAATTAATACAATAAATTTTTATATATCCACTCTTCCAATATAATGAACCATTTTGGTGAAGCATGTCTCTATGCGCGGTATAGTTTACCAGAACTGGCCATGGAAATAAAAGAACAGAAAAAAGTGATAGTGTTCCATTCAAATATCTCTTATCATTTGAGATGTCAAAGTCATTTATGAATGTAGTCATGAAACTTAATTTGAAACATTGTTACATAAGACAAGCTGTGACAGAATCACAATCCTTACTTTCAATAGACTTACCGTTTTTAGCTGAAACATGAACCTAGAAACCAATATGAGAATAAAAGTACCTGTATGAACACTGGCCTACTCACACCTGACCTCAGGCCTACTCAAACTCTGGAATCAAATTCAGGTCATTCAGTCATCCATAGCCAGTCCCTTTCTTCTTGATGTTTGGTGAGTTTCACAGATGAGTGTTTAATAATGACATGAATTGACAAAAGAACTGCAGTGTAATTACAAAGAATTGAGCATTGTGAAATATGTTAAAAATCAGAAATTATTAAGGCAGTTCAGACGCGTAGTACATTATTTGGACTTGACCAATAGGCTTAGTAGGGGTCAAGTGGTGGGACAGAGAGCAACCAATTGCAACAGGACTCGGGTTCAAATCTGAGCCAAACTTCTTACAACATAATCCTATATCCATTCTGTGACCATTCTACAGCCCTTCCATTTCCCACATTGGTCTGTAACTACCTGATAATTTTCATCATCATCATCATCATCATCATCATCATCACTGGCATGACAGCCCTTTGTGAGCCCTGGCCTTCCTCAGGATTGCTTGCCATTCTTCTCTATTCGATGCTACATTCCTCCAGTTCTTTATACCCAAACTTCTTATGTCCTGCCACACACATTCTTTTCATCTTAACCTTGGTCTTCCCACTCTCCTATTTCCTTCTGGTTTGGTGTTAAGCATTTTCTTGATCGTTCTATTCTCGCTGGCACATATTATGTGTCCAGCCCATTCAAGCCTTTTCACCTTTATAAATCCAATAATGTCTGGTTCATTAATAGTTTGTATAGCTCATGGTTACACCTCTTCCTCCATATTCCATTGTCTTCCACTGGTCCAAAGATATATCTCAAGATCCTCCTTTCAAATACACTTAACAGTCTTTCATTCGATCTTGACAGTGGCCAGGTCTCAGAGGCATAAGATAGCACTGATCTTATAAGTACTTTATACATCATAGTTTTGGTTTTCCTGGGTATTAATTGGGATTTCAGGTGTTTCCTAAGGCATGGAGACATTTATTTGCTGCAAGTACACGCTTTTTTATTTCATCACTGATATCACCTGATAATTTTACTGGTAATAAATATCTAATTTGAGGATTTTTACAGATTCTTGTCTTATAAATTTGTAAATTGGCAATAACTTGATATGATTTTAACAAATGTGAAATACTACCACGTCAGACACGAATAAATTTGATTAAATTCAATAATCAGATATACTACCACAGTCAATAAATTCGTGGACTGGCCGCACAGTCATCGTTGCAGTGCACTATAGTGGATAGGTTGAGGCATGACCTGATGCCCTTTCAGTTCATCTCTCGTCACAGCAAGAGAAAGTTGTGTGCCAACAGTGTAAGCAGAACTACGGCTTCTGTTGTGAACTGCGGTTAAATGCATGTGCCGGAAATTGAAAATGTGGCAGTTTGAACAACGGACAAACATCAAGTTCTGCCAAAAACTAGGCAAATCCCCTAGCAAAACATTTGGAGTAGGAAAAATTGGCTGTTCTTACACGACAACGACCCTGCACATCACTCTGTTCTTGTCCAAGAGAACTGACAAGGCGACAGGTCACCGTTTTGCCACACCCTCTGTACTCACCTGATCTCGCACCGTGCAATTTCTTTCTCTTTCACCACTTGAAAGCAAAGCTACGTGGTCGTAGATTTCAGTCGTCCAAGGAGGCCGTCAATGCCACGAGAGATGTCATACGGGAATTTCCTGCCAATATATTTCAACAATGTTTTCGGCAGCAATGTCAACGTTGGCAGACCTGCATAGCGGCCAACGGCTACTATTTTGAGGGCCGATGTGGATCTGTGTAAGTGTGTGTGAATACCTTGTAATATGATGGAATAAAACTACAGTCCACGAACTTAATGACTATACCACGCATGTATATATTAGTATGTTATACAATGATTACAGAGACAAAAAAGAGAAATTTTACACCAAAGAGTTATTTAAAATGGCGCTAAAATAAAAATAATGAATAAAATTGGAAATTCACGCATGTAAATATATTGTTGTGTGTATGTAACAAGCATTATATTGACTCAGAAGTGAGTCCATCTACAAGAACCAACAATAGTGTTTAGGATTTAAGTAATATTGTACTGCTCATTACAGTTGAAAATTACTGTCCTGAAGTATTTTACTCACAAAAGTCTGCCTTTTCTATGAAGTATGGTACAACAGCCTTTGGCCAACGTGCATTATCATCTTGCAATGCATTTTTAATGTCTGCATTTTCATAAAGCATGATGTCTCCCTCAAATTGTCCACTCAGTTCCCACGCATTACTTTTATCTACTGGAGACCAAGATGCAACTTTTTCAGCTGAAATAAATCCACATCAAAGCAAAATATGGTATACATTAAAATAATAGAAGTTCAGGAAAAAAATTCAATGAGGATGGCAGTTGTCGACATATCAGTACTGGTGACTTGTACACAAGATAACTTGACTTGTTCTATATCAGGAGGTTATATCGCCAAATATGAATTTCTGGAATAAATAAAAATATAAATATGAATCATAGGGAAAGGCCATAGTTGACTTTGGCCTTGGATGACCTTTATCTCAAAAATACATATTATATAAATATTGTAACCGTTCATCATAATTTGGTGGACTATTTTGTATTAATTAAATCTATATTAAGTTAATATCATGTAAATACAAAGAGACCCAGCAGATAGCCAACTCTTACATGCAGAAGTGACATACTTCAAGTTTTGCTATGTGGACAGGAAGTAACATCTGGTACTTTTCCTGGAATTCTGGCAGTTTCAGCAAAGTCAGGAAGTCTTTGAGAATTGGAGAGCTGACAGCTTGGAACAGCTATAACTTAGAAGTGGGAGGGCCAGAGCCTCATCCCCTGATCGTAATGCATTAAGTCGCTGTCAACCTTAGTGTCAGGTCAGCAACTGCCAGAATCACATAGCAAAGCAACATGACTGGAAATTCACAAATTTAGGGAACCTCCTAGTTTGAAAACTTAACCAATGGAAAAGGTTGGAGGAGTGGATTTCTCTTGGAGTCTGTGGTTCGTGGACCTCAGTATTCAGAGAGAGGGAATTCCACCTCAAGGAGTCTTCACCCAACTTTCGGCCAAGTAAGACACAAATTATGATTTATAATATAAACTTATAATAATGATAGTAAGTAATAATATAAAATTTAAATATATACAGCACATATAATGTAATAAGTTTCATCATAACTCTGTGTCCAAAGTTGTGGACCACTGGGTTTGGTTAAAGAGAAGATGTATGTTAAAATGCTGCTAAGTCGCATTTCTACAGATCAAAATTTTCAGTTCCGGAAATGGAAGAAATATTTTATAAAGTGTTACTTTCTGCAGGTTATAAAGACTACACATATTACCAGGAGAGCTGATGAAAACCAAACTGAATGAGATGACTACAGAAATACATACCAACTTCTGCCCGAGAAGATGAGGATTCGATGTTTCCTTCATGACGGGGTTTTGGTGGTACATTACGCCTTGTTAAAACTAATGTAATCATCATAAAGAATTCTAGAACATTTATTAAATTCATGTTGAGGATGTAGTTTGCTAGCTCTTGTGTAATTTCAAATAAAAACTTAACAATCCATACAAGAAATGAAAATGTTGTTGTACCTCAGTTGTGTTCTAGAGCTCTGCGATGACTAACACCTTTGAACATTCAGTTTCAATATATAGTTTTAATTAGACTTATAGTTTATGTGATTTGAATACAGATTACTTTATTCATAAATGAGATCCTTGGTACCATGTATACCAGTACCTAAACTTCAAGTCACTTGCTTGATTGTTCAAAAATGGTAATTTGTGTGTGTAGTTTTATATTACATACATCACTATAATTGATAATATTTTATGAAAGTAGGTTGAAAAGATATGTTCACAGAAGTAAACTTTCACTATTCGTTCATGTAAGCAACTTTCAACGAAAAGTACTTACTTTATCAGATCCAGCTTTCACTTTTGGGCCGTGTGAACAATCTTCAAAAGAATGAGAACGATGTCATGAACTTAAAAGAAAATGTAAATATGACAACAAATGAGAAAACATAAAATGAATGTGGCTGAAATATAAATGGGTGGTGATAAAATAAGTAGCAGTTTGTTTACAAAACTATGTCTTCATTTGTATTCTACCATCCCTCACCTGATAGAACACTGGTCATGATTTCCAATGAGTATAGAATATGTTCTAAAGAGGTCTGAATCTCATTAACCAAATAGTAATAGTAATTTTATCAGAGACCATTAATATACCTTACACAGTCTTACAATGTCCATTTAGAAGTTCAGACTGTGAACATATAGAGGATATGTTTTAAGTATATTTTTTCTGTTTTTCATAGTGTTTCATTGCTAATATGAACCCTGTTTCTGACAGATAGCAGTGTGTAGACTTGGGCTCACCATAAAGATTGGGCCAGTAAGTATTTCAAAACATCATCAATACTGCCATCACTCCAAACAGGATCCACATATATTTGAAATACCTGCATGAGATACCTTTCTTCACACAGAAATACTTTTGATCAGGAAGTCCTCTGGAATGAATATGTAAACAGAACAGAAAGCAAAACACTAGCAAGAATTTCAGAGCTGTACTTTCCTCACATACTACAACAACTTCTCATCCATTCTCAGACTCCAAATATATGGCATATATTAGACAATTAAATGCAGTGTTCCACAGGGTTCGATTCTTGGTCCCTTGTTTCTTCTGCTTTATATTAATGATTTACCTAAAATAATAAATAAAAGAAATAATGTGGTATTATTTGCAGACACCAGTATTATAGTAACTGACACTAATAAGTTAAACTTTGAAATAAATCTTAATCAGACTTTCAAAGATATAAATACATGATTTAATGCTAATTTGCTTACCTCAAATTTTAATAAGACTCAATATGTTAAGTTTCAACCTATGAATTATTATAATATCATTACTCAAATTAAGTTCAGATAAATTTAACAAATGTGACTGAGACAAAATTTCTGGGATTAAATGTTGATGATACTCTTTCATGGAAACAGCATATTGATTATGTTATTAATAAAATTTTCATTGCATGTTATGTATTGAGAAATATAAAATATACTCGTATTGTACCTTTAGATATGTTAAAGCGAATTTATTTTGCTGATATACATTCTATCATAAGTTATGGTATAATTTTTTGGGGTGGCTCTTCTTGTATTAACAAAGTTCTTATATTCCAAAAGAAAGTTATTAGAATTATAACGAATTCTAGACCAAGAGAATTTGGAAATAATGATGCTCTACTCCCAGGACATATATTCATTACTTTTGTACACAACTAAAAATGAACATTTATTTAATTTTAACAATGAGATTCACAAATACAAAACTAAAGCCCTCAGTAATTTGTATTTACCTGCAGTTAACCTAAAAAAAATACAACAATGGTGTGTACATAGCAGGTATTAAAGTTTTTAATCATCTTCCTCAAACAATAAAAATTTTGGCTACTGATGTGAGAAGTTTTAAATCTGCACTGAAGAGGTTTTTATATCATCATTCTTTTTATTTCATGAATGAATATCATCAACATAATTGTTCATAAGTGTGTAAATTTGTAATGTACTGAATTCAGTTAATATAGGTAATTTAAATAAAATTATATTAATTCAAATTTTATAGTAAAGTGTGTAAATTTGTAATGTATTGAATTCAGTTAATATAGGTAATTTAAATAAAATTATATTAATTCAAATTTTATAGTAAGTTATTTTTAAATTATGTTTATTAATTAAAATCTTATTAATATTTTTACTTTATATTATTATTTATGTTAATTGATTAATGTAAGTTATCTTAATTATGTGACTTGTGTAATTTTGTATATGTATCTTGATATATCTATTTTCAAAGGGACTATTTCCACATCCTAGGTTTGTTACCTGAATGAATATATGGAAAATAAAGGGAATGAATGAATGAATGAATGAATGAATGAAGATCAGTAAACTGTTATGTTTGTGAAGTCTTAGCCTATACATTCAAATCTACATTCCACAAGCCTCCAGATGTTACAGGAAAGATGCTTAAGGATGACTGGAAAATATTCTAGAATAACAAATGTTAATTTCTGCACATAGATTTCTCAGTTCTTGAATTTGACGAATCTCTCCAACTTGTATCCAAATATACGTATGAAAAATTAACATCCATCCCAATAAGATAAAAAGACAACTGTGTATGTAACCTGTTAATCAAAACTCCGTTAATATGTATAAGAAACCATGGAATAACATTTTATAATGAAAGAAGGAGATACGACAGAATAACCAAGAAGACAGAGCATGAATACACAAGAAAATAAATGAACATAATAAAAGGAGAGAGAGAATACAAATAAATCAGATTACAGAAGACAGAATTTATATATTTAGGCAAATTAATATGTGATGTGATAAAAGAGGATACCAACGGCAGCCCGGGTTCAACCCCAGGTCTGGTCAAGTGAGATTTGTGGTGGGCAAAGCGGTGCTGGGGCAGGTTTTCTCCGAGTACTTCATTTCCCCTGCCAATCTTCATTCCACCAATTGCTCCACAATCTCCCTCACCTAACATCTTGGGCTGGAACAATAAGCCCGAAGTGGCCGTAGTACAAGGGACTTAGTCCCACCCCACTAGCAATAAAACAAAAGAGGATACCAAAGAAATACTAAATAACATTATTCACCTCTTCTGAATGGCAAAATACAGGGAAAACTCTTTGTACTGAACCCAGTATTGATGCCTTACGGGAGTTGTACTGAGAATTGCAGCTAGACTGCAAACAACTCCTGCTCTATTAACATAGCAAGACATAACACAAACGCTGTGAACAATAGACATACAGAATGTACAAAATGTGTTGCTTTATGCAAGATATTTGGACACCGAGAACTTCAGAGCCATAATAATTAATTACAGACATGTTTAATAATAATTAGTATAAAAACTCTTTTCAGTCTAACTTACTACCTAAGATACATGTTCTTTGTCTAACTTTGACTGTAATCATATTAAAACTCACTATGTTATGGCTCTGCATACTTACAATCCAGCCATAACGTCCTGTCCAATAATGAAAACATACAAAATGCAGATATCAAGAAGCTCTTCCAAATAAGCTCTTTTCATGAAAAAGGTGGTAGCTAATGACAGACTACTGTTGGCAGACCTACTCCCAGACAGAATTAGTAAAAGCTGCAAAAAGGAAAGCAATCCCTGTAAAGGGCTGTGGAGGACCATAGGTTGTGAAATGTCAAGGTTTCCATATTTTCTAGGCAATTGGCTCACAGATAGCGGTGAGGTTGTCAGCCTCACACACCAGCCTCCCTCTACCCCCAGGAAGGTTTCCAGTACTCATTTCTATTAGAGGCTTAGTCTATCCCAGAGTCATAGTGCGGCTGGAAAGGTTAGGTCAATTGAAAAATCCAGTGACCTCATCAGGAATCAAACCCGTGACCTCCCAGCTTTCAGCATAGCGTCCCAACAAACTATGCAAACACATTCCCCCATACAGAATTAGTACTACCTGCAAACAGCATGTGCACACACTCTACTACCATAATCTCAGACAGCATCCTTACAATTGCATTATCCACAAAGAATTAAGTTATAAGTTCCTTGGTGTGTTTGTGTTCATAATGTAAGTGGGTCATTGCTCCAGAAATAAAAAACATAGTTGAGAGGTTTCTGTCAGTACTGTTTGGGACACTCCAGATTTAAACTTTAAACTTTATTTTACATATCTAAACCCATAATAATAATACATTTGACAAGTACTGGAGTCGAAAATGTTGTGAAAATCTGGCAGACAGATAAATATTCTGGTCAGCAGAAAAAGTGGATCAGTATCTGATGGTGCCTTGCTGTGACTCTCCATCTGATTTTCATGCAAGATTCATTCCTTCTTGTTGTAATAATATTTCTCCTATACACACACAAAACAGACATACGATAATGAAGAAAAATCAAATTTGTTCTGTATATGTAGAAATATTATATTTCAACATCATACCAAATGTGTGAAATTTCTTTATTTTATTCTGTCACCACAATAGAAAATATGGACACACCAAACATTTGTCATTTCTTGCAACATATTTCAGCTCATTAAGCCATCATCAGGTATTTAAAAACTATAGATTGCATCATGTTGTGTATATTTTATAAGCAATTACAAATCAGATATTTAACCTGATTCATGTAGCAAATTTACAAATAAATTTTAATACAGTAATATTCATTTGTTTATTATAACTTTGTTATATGGACACTTGTAAAATAGTACTGTATGGTCTGTCTGATACATAACATTAAGAAAATAACAAAATATTCCACTAATTGATTTATTTATAAGATACTTTTATTTAGTCAAATATACAGTTCACTCTTACTCATTGCTTTGAATTTCATTAGTCACAGTTTCATCAATATTACATCAGTAAGGACACATGTAAAATCTGGAAAAAAGCAAACATAAATTTAAATCAATCATTATAGTCAGACATGTCTACAAGCTAAGATAAGTTGAGAACTTAATATTCTGCATCCCCTTGGTAGAACAGAGACCACATACAAGGAAACTCTATGGCAACAAAATGCATTTATGGGGATAAAAAATTTGTGAGCATGTACTAGCATGTATAATAAACGGTCATTGAATGCTATTTACAATGACACATTGAACAAGAATCAAAGAAAATTTAATGTACGTTATTATCAAAAACTGAAAAGGCAAACCAGACATCCTGGTTTATATGATGACATTGTTTCCTTAATCACATTGAAAGCATTCCTTGGATGTTCTGTAATTTTTAGTAAAGCATTGATCCATGGTTTCCACTATGTTCTTTGACACATTTTCTGCTCTTCAGGTGGGATTTTACAGTTCCATCTGGTACTGATTAATTATATGTACAAAATATATGACTATTACACACAGAAATGTAGGTTCAAATAATACTTTGAATTTGAAATGTTAACAAAATTTTATATGGATTTCAAAACTTGTAAGACCATTATTATGTGAAATTTTCCAATTGCTTCTTAACTAAAGATGAGTTTGGTCCATCATATTTATACTTTTAACAATCATGGATCTAAAATTCATGGCAGATTTCACAGCTTAGTGTCTTACCTCCAAGCCTTACTGTTACATTTTGTTAATTAACTAATTAACTAACTCCATTGAGCAAAGTCGTCCATCAGAAGTTAAGAGATAGTAAAAAAAAAGCAAAAAAGTAAAGCTATCTCTGTACCAGGCCATGAAGGCCCATAGGGTTGTGAGACATTGAGGGTCCCACAATCGGCTCAAAGATGGTGGCAAGGTTGTCAGCCTTACGCGCCGGCCACGCTTTACTCCCCAGGAAAATTATTTCCTGGTACTCATTTCTGTTAGAGGCTGAGTAAACCCCAGGGCTTAGTGTGGCTGGAAGGATTAGGTCAACTGAAAAATCCAGTGACCTCATCGGGACTTGAACCCACGACCTTCCGGCTTGTAGCATAGCCCCTCAACCAACTATGGTACCACGTGCCCCCAGTTAAGGGATAGTAGCTGTCAAAAAACTTCTCGTCTTTTATGAGCTCCAAATCTTCATTACCATGTTCATGAGAACCCAACACTGGTCCCTATCCCTAAGTAAAATTAATCTAGTTCACGCCCTCAAACATTTCTCAATGACATGTTAATATTATATTATATTGCATTTACATGACAGTCCATGCCATCACATAGTGGACATAATATTTTAAATGGTAAACATTTATTGCATCTCTGGTAATGTGTATAATGAATATGCATTTTGAACAGTTATACTGGAGCTTGAAAATTATATGTATGTTCAAAATATGTATGAGTGTTATTACAATGCAATTTTGTACATAGTTCATTTTTAATAATATCATTGTGTGTGACTGATATTTATGTACTGTGATTAGTAAACCAAGTCACCTTCATTTGGTTCTTATATTCCTGCACTGACATGCTACTTCATACTAGTGGTGTCAAAAATTTGTTTTGCACACATACTGTGTCATCTTTCAAAAGTGAAAGACATCTAAATACCCAAGAAGCAAATCACATGAACACATAGCCTGCACAACTTTCCAGTTTCTTAGAATGCCAAAGATGGATTAAAACAGTACAAGATTTCTTATTTGTACTTGTAGCAATTTAACAATGGAATATTCAACATAAATTGTCATTATTAGTTATTAAGCTTTCATAATTAATTTGTTCTAATTTCTCCCATATCCCTTTCTACACTTTTTTTTTATTATTGCTAGTGGGGTGGGTCTAAGTCCCTTGTACTGTGGCCACTTCTAGCCTATTGTACCAGCCCCAGATGATAGGTGAGGGTGATTGTGGAGCAATTTGTGGAATGAAGATTGGCAGGGGAAACCGAAGTACTCGGAGAAAATGTGCCCCAGAGCCACTTTGTCCACCACAAATCCCACTTGACCAGACGCGGGATTGAACCCGGGTAGCCGCGGTGGGAAGCCAATGACTAACCGCTTGGGCTATGGTGTGCCCTTCGTTCTACACTTACACATTATCAAATGACATATTGAGGCCAACACTTATTGCCATTCCTCTCATGAACGGCATGCACAAATAGTATATTTTATATAATATAATACATTTCACATATTCACATCAAAATATTATTAGTACTCAAAGAACAGACATAATACACTGAAGCAAATACTGGTCTCTCGTTCATGACCTACTACTTTACATTCATGCACTACGTTAACACAAAATATGTTACCGTGGTAACCTAAAATTATGTGATGATAATGATAAATCTCACACATACAAAACAGATAGAGAAGAATATTAGGACAACAATAGTGTGAAATATCAACTATCAGGGAGCTCCATAGCTCATCACAATTCATGATGCTGGTAAGATAAATATCAATATGCACAAGCAGCACAGCATGCATAGAAACCACACCGTTAATAACAAGAACACACCACCAAGGGATAGACAACAATTCCTCTACTAAGGAAGATAAAAACAACCTACAGTGGTTCACGAATAAAATTCTTATTTTAAAATAAGTTTATACACACACTCATAAACATAATTTTAACATAAGGAAGGCTGCTGTGGTGAAACAAAATTGAATTTTATATAAAATACAGTGGAACATTTTTAATTATCCATTAGGGAAGTGATTGCAACTACACTACTACTACAGTAATACAATTCAAAAACGTTCTTATTACAAAAGAAAATTTTACATCGTCTATATGACAAAAATCAACAACTACACATAGTGAGCATCATAAATGTTTTAAGTGTTTCTACTCTTAAAAACTTTTACGTATTAGTGGATTCCTGATCGTAGAGGCATACTTCTGATGATGATTCATTATGAATCGAAACATATTGGGTAACTAAGTGCTAAAGGGGTGGAAGCATTATATGTCACATTGGACTGAAATAAACTTAATTGTAAACCAATAAGAAACATTACATTTATGTGATATACTAATGGCTTTGAGACAATTAAAAGTGACTTATGCTCAAGACAATGCCTTAAAAGGAAGAAAAAAGTAAATGTATTTCTTAATATTGATAAAATACAGTAAAACTTGGTTATAGCAACATCGGTTTCTGCGACACCTTGTCTATTGCGCCAAATATTCAATGGTACGAACTAATTCCTCATAAAGCAACTGTTTTCATACCTTGCATAGTACGACATGCACAAATGCATCAAACTCGTATGTAACGTCATTTTCATTCCTAAATTTCTCTGATATCGTGGGAAAGTTTGATGTGTCTGCCCACCCTCACTTTCTCTACTTGCTGAAGTGACTGTCCTGGAAGAATACGACTGCGGGCTGTAAGAGGAGCGTGGGTTTTATGCGAAAAAAAGTGTGTGGGGTGGGACTGCGTGAATAGTGCAAGAGGACGCGGCAGGTTGTTAACTGCATTCCTTTCCTAGAATCTCGTCTAACAGGACCTCACATTGTCTACTTACCCTATAGTGTTCCTGCCTAAACCCAGAGAAGTGCAGTAGCGAAAACATGGCAATGAAAAGGAAAGTTTTAAGCACTGAAGAGAAAGTTAAGGTGATTCGTGAAATAGAAAATGGAAGGAAAAAAGCTGATGTATGCCACGAATTTGGTTTGGTGAATTCTACAGTACAAACGATGATTTACCTTTAACAGAATGGTTGCGTA